TGCCCATTTCTCCATACACCACTTTTGGACTTAATCCTTGTTTCGATGTGATGGGTCACATATACGATTCAATTAATGCAAACTGCAGACTTTCATGTTCTGTAAATTGTATTTAAAACAAAGCTGCTGCTGTTGACCATTCTGTTTTTAGAAGCAGCCCTCACAAGGCCAGCACTCTAGGGGAAAATTGACTGACTGTTAGTGACTCAGTCCGACTAAATCAGATGTCATATATTATGTACTTCTGTACAACCATGTTAATGTTTTTGTAGGACAAATACAGTACACGTTTTTCTTATATTTTATCAAATTTTGAACATTTTTGTTTCAGGCAGGTAGACTTTCATGTCGGGCAAGTAAAAAAGAAAATCTCTTCGAACCCTGTTGAGCCCTCTCGGAGTGCTCAGGAGGAGTCTTAGGGTGTGACGTGGGGCTGTGTGTGGCGGCAGCGACACCACTCAATACACGTGTGAGGCTGAAATTACTTTCCAAAGCCTCATGCTAAAGACCTAAAACAACAGAAYACGTTAAAGCAGCTGCTAAAGAACCTAAAGTTAAAAACCTACAGAGTTACACTCACCTGAGGTCTGATCAGAGGATGTTGAGGGTTGTTCTCCCATTGGCTTTGCTGCTCCCTCCTCACTTGGTGATTTGGGTGGTGGAGGTACAGCCAGAGGAGTTGCAAGAGGAGAGAACCAGTGGTTTGAACTTGTAGCAAACAGCACTTGGTTCATATGCCTCATGTAGCCAGGACACTGTCTGCACATCACAAGAGGCTGACTGGGGATGAAAACGACAAAAGAAAGTTACGTTCTGTGATTTTATTCCCACAAACGCTTTTATTTACTTCACTGTCCTAAAAGGTGGACCTCAACCTGAAATCCAAGCCTCTATATGGAGCGTCATGGATCACAGGTTAAATTTAATTAAGTTGAATTAAAGRTAAAGTTTTAATAGGCGAGCTGTTCTTTACATGGTGTAATGATGTGGAAAAATACTGCAGCTGTGAATATGAGATACGTCCTGCTTGCTTCAGTATCAAACAAATATTTCCATAAGTTAACAAACAAGATTCTGAACCGCTTACTTCAGTGGTAGGAATATTTTCAAATACAGCAAAAAAKATAATTTTTTTTGACATTTGTCTTATTTTGTTTGCACTATTAGGATAGAAAAAGACCCTGACAGAAGTTAGCTTACTGTACTTGCAAGCTCACATTCAAGTGGCTGCACTGCAGAACAGATGGTGGTGAGGGAGTTAAAAAATAATGATCACAGAGCTGTTCTCTGGACACTCCTAAACAAACTTAGGTTTAATTAAAACAGATCAGTCACTACGAAGCTGTGACACAGCTTTCACTAACAAGAAGCTTTGAAAAACACGTCTGAAGTTCTGTCGTGTGAACTGATATGTGTTGAAGCTTTTGCATCAGCTTCACAAAAGACAAACAATACAAAACACAAAACAATAAGTGATTCTTTTTATTTTAACGAACTGACTTTCATATATCTGGAGACAGGGCAAAATATTCATAAAGAAAAGTTTCTGCAGTGTTTCTCATATTAATGGTTTAAATGTTATTAAATTAAAAAGTTATATTCAAAATTTGTGATTGGTCGCCAAATACCAGGTACATTCGTTTACCCGCTTAAGTCWGCTCCAACACACCTGAGCAGTGACCCTCCACCAGACTACAGCCAGACTAACAGGTCAATCCTGTGATGAAGTTAAACTGTGAATTACATTCAGTATAACTRTAAAACTATTGGAGTAAACTTTCAAACTGCACTGTGATTCTTTTTATCTTAGATTTCATACTTTGTGATAAATGCCTTTGGTATAAAAAAAATTGAAATAATTCTATTGCCTGATGTCTGAGGAGTCGCTGTCATTGTCAGAGAGCTCCAAGAGGTAATCCGAGCTGCCCTCCTCATCAGAGTAAGAGCGCTCAACTTTTGGCTGCAACATGTCCTGAGTTATCTTGTTTCGGCTGTCCATGCTCCTCAGGTCCTCCTTGCTGCGACACTTCTCTGTTGGACACAAGACAATGTCGGTGTCTTTTCCTGTGGGATAAATCTTGTGCCAGCAGGAATTGAAGTTGAATTGCTCAGACTGAATGTGAATGTGCATAATTTGAAATTGAATGCATTGGTTTGAAAATAAATTTCACTAAATTGAAACTGAATTCAAAGTTTTGAATTTGAATTCATTTGCTTTGAAACTGCTTTTTTTGGTTTATTAAAAATTCAGTTTGTCTACTTTCACTTTCAGTTCCAAAATTCAGATTTTTGTGTCGCACATCCTGGTCCTTGAGAAAGCCAGCCAGAGTAATCAAACACAGATCCACAGATTTACGTTTCACTTTGGTGAAGTTTCCCTTCTGTAATGTAACAGAGTTGATAGAATCCACCGTAAACGTGACAAAAACAGACAGTTAGTTTATTGCAGTGATTAATTTTACCTATAGAAAATGTTACATTTACATGCCGTCATGGATCAGTCAGTAGCAGCATCTGATCCATGTGATCCATGATGTGATGTAAATGTAGCATTATCTATAGGTAAAATTAATCACTGCAATAAACTGTCTGTTTTTCACTTTTCACTAATTTACAGGCCAGCGGTCACTCTTTCAGAGATGAGGATGTTCTCATTCTTGATAGAGAGGAACGTTGGTTTGAGAGAGGAGTAAAAGTGTAGCAATTTGAGTTTTTCACCAGCAGTTTCCTGGTTGGCCAAGGCGTTAATCAGCGCAGCTGCAGCTGATCCCCTGATG